GTAAGAAGCTGCTTAGGCTTCCCGTGTCCCAGATCACAGTCAGTGCCTGAGTGTGGTGTCCAGCTCCAGCCCTGAGCGCAGCTTCCTGCGAGTGCAGATGCTGGGAGGCGGCGGTGATGGTTCCAGGACTTGGGTTCCCGCCACCCTCGAAGGTGACTCATTGAGTGGCTGCTCCAGGCTTCTGCTCAGCATCTGGGGAGTGAGCCAGTGGACAGGATCTCTGTCCCTCTTTCCCTCTCCTTGTCTCCCTTCCTCTCAAGTAAATAAAATCAATACATACACACACACCAAAAGCTCTAAATAATCACCCAAGTGCTAGTCCAACGCTTTGTGTAGCCCAGTGGTTTTGTTATTGTTATTGTTTTGTTTTTTAGAGTTTTATCTGTTTATTTGAAAGGCAGAGTAACAAACAGAGATGGAGAGAGAGAGATATCTTTCATCCACTCCGATTCATTCCCCAGATGGCTGCAGTGGCCAGGGTTGGGTCAGGCAGAAGCCAAGAGCCTGGAACTCCATCCGGGTCTCCCACGTGGGTGAGGGGCCCATGCACTTGGGCCATGTTCCGCTGCTTTCCAGGAGCATTAGCAGGGAGCCGGATCAGAGGTGGAGCGGCTGGGACATGAACTGGCTGGTGCCCCTATGGGTGCCAGCATCGCAGGCAGTGGCTTTACCTGCTACCCCACAGTGCCGGCCCCCAGCCCAGCAACTGCGATGTGGTTGGAGGAGGCGAAAGATAGAGGAGGCTTTGGGGAGAGCCGGGCCTTGAGGAAGAGCCTGGGGTCAGGGTGGTCAGGGCCCACCAGCCCGCTCCCCTGGTTTGCGGGCGTTCATCGAGTGCTGCAGCCCACAGCCTTCCCCAGGCTGGAGGACACAGAGATGAGGGAGTGCCAGGCCCCTGCCCCGAGTCAGCGTTTGCACCCGGGGCAGAGAGGAAGCCAGGGCGGGCGTGTGGGCTGGCCTGCAGGAGGCCCAGCTGTGGTGAGCACAGAGAACTCTGCCGCCCCCGCCTGGGGCGGGGCCAGCAGCTGTTGCACCTGCTGTGTTCCCGGGTCCACTCACCTGCAGAAGCAGGGCGTCCCAGTGTGTGGGGAAAGGTCCACGCCTTCTCCCTCACCATGGGGATCGTCTCAGCCTAGGACCCCGGGAGCCACACGCGAGCTCTACCCACACCACAGATAGTGTGGCTGGACGCAGACATGTGAAACATCTTTCTCTTAGGAAGCTTTCCAAGCAAGGCCTAAAAGCTGCCGGTGGAACAAGGCTTTCCCGTGTGCCCAGATCTCACCTTCAAGGCCATGAACGCTGTGCTGTTCTTGTTATGTCACTCACGTCCACTTTGCTGTCTCTGTACGCAAACCCCAGATCTCGTATCATTTCACCCTGAAATACTCCTCACGCTTCTCTAGCCCAGGGCTCGTCAACTTTTTTTTTTTAAGCCTGTGAAGCCACAGACTCCTTAGACTAGTGTTTTTACAATGCCTAAGACTGGGAGTCGGCACTGTAGCATAGCTGGTTAAGCTGCCGCCCGTGATGCCAGCATCCCAGATGGGTGCCGGCTTCAGTCCTGGCTGCTCCACTTTCTATCCAGCTCTCTGCTATGGCCTGGGAAAGCAGTGGAGGATGGCCCAAGTCCTTGGCCCCTGCACCGACATGGGAGACCCAGGTGAAGCTCCCGGCTCTGGCCTGGCCTGGCCCAGCGCTGGCTGTTGTGGCCATTTAGGGAGTGAACCATCAGACAGATCTTTCTCTGTCTTTCCCTCTCTCTGTCTGTAACTCTCTCTCTCAAGTAAATAATAATAATAATCTTAAAAAAAAAAAGATCTAGCGGTAGACCCCAAAACTACTGTTTCTTTTTTCTTGTCTTTTATTTTTTCTGTTTTAAGAATTATTTATTTATTTGAAAGGCAGAGTAACACAGAAAGAGGGAGAGACACAGAGATAGAGAGATCATCCACTGGTCCACTCTCTGAATGGCTGCAACAGTTAGCACTGGGCTAGGCCACAGCCGGGAGCCAGGAACTCCATCCAGGTCTCCCATGTGGGTGGCAGGGGCCCAGGGCTTGGGCCATCTTCTGCTGCTTCCCAGGCACATTAGCAGGGAGCTGGATTGGAAGCAGAGCAGCCAAACTTGAACCAGGCACTCCAAGTTGCAGCTTAACTCCCTGCACCGTGATGTCTGTCCCCAAAATGCAGAGATGGCTCAGGAGCATAGGCAGCCCCGGGGAGGGAAGGGGTAGGGAGGGGCGCAGGCCCCTGTGTCCCCTCCCCGGCCTGTGGTCCGACCTCCCTGGCACTTCCTGGCTGCGTGGCCTTGGATATGTTGCTCGACCTCTCTGGGCCTGAGCTTCTCATCTGTAAAATAGTAATTACACTGTTTTCCTTTTAGTGATGAGAAGAGGAAGGGACAGAGGCAGACAGTGCCCCGGCTCAGCTCAGCTCTGTGAAGGTGCGCTTCTCCCTGGGTGCACAGATCCCAGGGAGCGGTGGACTAGGGCCAAGGCCAGCCAGTGGAGGACGCTGTGGGGACCTGCCAGGGTCCTGCCAGGCTTGCCGCCCGCCCTGGCCACCTGCCCTGAAGGCTGGAGCCGGCTGATAGCCCTGCCCTTCCACAGAGCGAAATTGCTGTCTCTGTAGCCTCCCTGGTCAGGGACTTGCCAACCTGCTGGACACAGTGCCAGGCCACCCCAGGCCTCCAGTTCTGCTTCCAGGAGGGGGGGCGGGGGGTTGGGCTGAGGGCCTCCAGGTAGGAGCAGGGGAGGGAACCTGGACTGTGCGGAGGGTCACTCTCTGAGGGTCTGCTGCTCCTGCTGTTCCTGGTGGGGCTTGCCCACCTGTGCTAGGTCGCCTGTGCGGGGGAACATGGAGCACTGGTTTGGGAGCCCAGACCTCTGGGCAAGCCAGGTCCTGCTGGAGCCATCGGGGCTCATAGCCCAGGAGACACCACCCCACCCCCAGCCCCAGAAATCCATCCATGTGTTCATTCGGCAAATATTTATAGGATTGCTAATTAGAGTCTGAAAAACACAGAAGTGAACAGAGCAGACACTGGCCTCATTGTAATTCAAATGGATCACCCTGTGAATAAGGCCTGAGTAGCTACAGGCAGGAGAGGATCCCCGGAGAGGGCCTCCTGGAGGAGGCGTCAGACCTCAGAAGGGGGGGTAGCGGTGTGCCTGCTGGGTGTGTGGGACCTGGGGTGCTTCCTGAACACAAGAGACCCCAGCTTGGAAAGAGCAGGGGTTCAGGGTGAGGGAAATGTCTCTTTGTGCAGGGTTCTGGTTGGAAACTGGAGCTCCTGCCCGGCCGCCCTCAACCGGACACTTGCCGTCTGCTCGCCCTCAGTCCTTGCTGCTCTCCCTTCCCTGCCCTGGCCAGCAGGGGGAGGCAGAGGGCCTGGGAGCCTCAGGAGTCTGGCCAGGTCTGGAAGAAGTAAAGGAAAGGGGGGCCCTGCGGGGTGGAGGGTGGTCCAGTGGCCCTGTCTCTGCTGATGACTGGGTGCTGGGCGGGGTGGGGACTATGGTGACTGATGCCCGGTCCTGATGGGGAAGGGGGGTGGGGAAGAGGGGGCTACTCCTCCGAGGCCTTTGGGAAGCAGCAGGTGGCAGGGGGTGGGAAGGTGGCCCCCATCCAAAGTCCAGGGCACCCTTGGTCTGGCTCCCCTAGTTGATACAGAAGTAATGCTGGTGCCTGGCCCTGCCCGGATCCTGAGCACTGACCCTCAGGGCCTTTTTTTTTTTAATGGGGTCACTTGTTGTGGATGATTTTATCCAGGAACTGTCTATGGGAGGAGCCGACGTGCACTGCCCGAGGCCGAGCATCCGGGTGGCCATGCTCTGAGTTCCTGGAGGGTGTGCCAGGCTTTACAGCCTGGTCAGTCTTCTGCTCCCACCTGTCCAGTCTCTGGTCCAGCAGGGGTCAGAGGGCAGCCACTGGACAGGAGGCAGGAAGCCTGAGTCTCTCTGCCCAGTGGCAGGGAAGGGAGGGGACAGCAGACAGGACATCCCTGGAGAGACCCGACCCCCTCTAGTCTTTGACTCTCCTGGGCAGTCCTGCTCAAAATGTTTACTGGGGGAGGGTCTGAACCTTGGTTTTTCCATCTCTAAAATGGAGTCACTATCCCTCCTGGAGAACAGACCCTGCAGGGGTGTGTGTGTGTGTGTCTGTGTGCGTGCTGTGGACTGAGGTGGTGTGTAGGCTGGCACTGCCCTCTGGTGGCTGCAGCCGGAGTTGCCAGGTGCCCCGACCTGGGGGTGCAGTCACCAGGAAGCTACCAGGATCCCCCAGCTCCATCCTCTCCCTCCCTCTTGTTTCTTCTACACCCCAACTCCCTGGGGGCCACAGGACTACAGGACTCTCCCTTGTGGGCCAGAACCAATTCAATTCCACAAGCATCTCTCGGGAATGTAGGGCTCCTGCTGGATGCACAGCTGCCCTGTGCTAGGTGCTGGGGCTGCAGCCTCACCGAGTCCCGGCTGCACTGGTGCCCGTGCAGCCCTCACCACCTTCACCCTCACTGTCGCCTGCAGTCCCTGTGGCTGCGCCTCCTGTGGGCTTTTTACTGACAAAGAAACCACAGGAAACAGAAACATGTGGAGTGCAGAGAATGGACTTCCTGCCTCTAGCTCCCATCTTTAAAAGAATTATTTATTTATTTGAAAGGGGGGAGGGGAGAGAGACAGAGAGAGAGATATCACGGATATCACTTCCCAAATGGCTGCAACAGCCAGGCCTGGGGGCCAGGCCAAAGTCAGAAGCCAGGAACTGCATCCAGGCCTCCCACATGGGGGCAGGTGCATTAGCAGAGAACTGGATTGGAAGTGGAGCAGCCTGGACTTGATGCTCATATGGGATGCCTGGGCTATAGGTGTCGGCTGAACCCACTGTGTCACAACGCCAGCTGCAGAAGTCCCATTGTTTTCTCCAATGTCTCTGGCCTGAGCCACGCGCAACAGCTTGTCAGAAGGGACCGGCGACCTGGAGTGAGGACAGGGAGGGCAGGGTCGAGGGTGTGGGGTTCTGATTCCCGGCGAATGAGGTGATGGTTTGGATCCAGTGTTTCAGTAACAGCACAACCAGACAGGGCCGTGCTTTTTTTAAATTTATTTTTTATTTTTTAATTTTTTTGACAGGCAGAGTGGACAGTGAGAGAGACAGAGAGAAAGGTCTTCCTTTGCCGTTGGTTCACCCTCCAATGGCCACCATGGCTGGCGCGCTGCGGCCGGTGCCCCACGCTGATCCGATGGCAGGAGCCAGGTACTTATCTTGGTCTCCCATGGGGTGCAGGGCCCAAGCACTTGGGCCATCCTCCACTGCATTCCCTGGCCACAGCAGAGAGCTGGCCTGGAAGGGGGGACAACCGGGACAGAATCCGGCGCCCCGACTGGGACTAGAACCCGGTGTGCCGGCGCTGCAAGGCAGAGGATTAGCCTAGTGAGCCGCGGCGCTGGCCAGGACCGCGCTTTCAATGGCTGGGCAAGTGAATCCCTGTGGGGCTGTGGTGGGTGTGTGGCACGAGGGGGCAGGTGGCGCGTTCAGCCTGCAGCCGGCAGCGGGCAATACCGGCTCTGGGAGAGGGAGGTCCTGCTTGAGCGGAGGAGGGGATCTGAGTGGGTCGCGCAGGTGTGGGCTGAGATGCGAACGCGGGGTTCTCTGCACCCTACCTGCAGGTGGGGCTTTGCTCTCCTCCTTTGTGGCTCCTTGTTCGCTTCCTTCTGAGAATTCACTGCAGCCTGTGATTATCTTGCTTGTCTGCCTCCTTTTTAGACTCTGAATTCCGAGGGAACAGACATCTGGTTTCTCTTGTTCCTGCTCTTGCCCCAGACGCAGGGCCTGGCACGCACAGGAGGCCCTTGTACACATCTGTGGAATGAACAAGTGAGCCCAGAGGAAGGAGGTGGAGGGCGCACGCTGATCCCTCCTGGGTGGCGTCTCCTGTTGCAGCTGCATCACCTGGGCCCACAGGTACCAGGAGCCTCGCCTGGGTGTGGGGGCCCCAAACCCTGTGTAGGACTCAGGCTAGGAGCAGCGGCTGGGCCAGGGGCACCTGGAACTCCTTGGCTTAGGTGCATGAGCCAGAGGACGGGTTAGAGACGGATGAGAGACCCCGTGGGAGGATGTGGGGACACGGGATGGGGCGGCCTCCGCGAGTCTGAGATGGGAGGAAGCAGAAGGGCTGAGGAGGAGGCCAGCATTCGAGCGATGTTTCAGAGGCTGATTCAGTAGGGCTGGGCGCCGGGGTGTGCAGGAGAAGGCAGCGGGGACACCAGGAACGGTCCTGGGGCTTGGGAGGAAGCAGTGACCCACGGGCCAGCCAGGGCCCCCTCTCGCCTGCCCCACGGCTCACCGGGGACGCTCAGGGAAGTCGCCCAAGGACAGAACAGGTGTCTGCCAGGCTGGCAGGAGGCAGACAAAGCCAAGTCGGCGGCGTTGCTGGCTGCGCACGGTCCCCCGCTCACCGCAAAAGGCACGACACCGCCGCGCCCACCGGTCACCCCGGCGGGCGCGACACAGGGAAGGCGGGAGCGGCGGGAGCGGAGGCCGCGGAGGCGGTGGGCGCTCGTAGCTGGAGACCTGGCTGGAGTCTCGTCCGAGAGTTCTCGGGAGGCAGCGGCTTTGGGAGGAACCATTCTCCAGAGATGGGGGAGAGAGGGCAGAAACCCTCACTCTGAGCCCCCGCCCGCGGGGCCGGCGGGACGCTACGCCGCACTCTCCTCGCAGCCCGGCTTCTGCCTGCGTCCTCCGCTCTGCCCCCGCGCGCGCTCTGTCCCGCCGCCTCATTCTCGGCCACCCCCGTCCCCACGCGTGGCACGGCCCGGGGGTACCGGTTCCGCGCGCAGGTTATAAAGCACCGGCTGCGGCAGCGGACTGCGGAGTCGAGATGCGCCCGAAGGAGCAGGGGCAGGGCTGCGCCGGCGATGGGCTGGAGTCCGGCCCCGGCCCCGGCCCCGTCCCTGGGGATCCAGCAGCGGTCATCCCCGAACCCCCGCCCGCAGCCGGCCCCGCTCCAGAGCCTTCGGCCGAGCCCGAACCCAGCCCCGCGCAGGCACCGGGGGCCGGACCCGGAGCAGCCTCCGGGCCCCAGTCCGGGACCAAGTCCCGAGCCCAGCGCGCGGCTGCATTTTGGGCCGAACACGGGGACGCGCCCTGGACCCGCTTCGTGTTTCAAGGGCCCTTTGGTCCCCGGGCCACGGGCCTGGGACGTGGAAAGGCTGCTGGCATCTGGGAGACGCCGGCCGCCTACATTGGCCGGCGGCCCGGGGTGTCTGGCCCTGAGCGCGCCGCTTTCATCCGGGAGCTGCAGGAAGGTAACCAGGTCCCCGGGGACCCGGGACGGGCGGGACCAGCGCAGCTCCGGGGAGAAGGGGCCCCGTCGAGTCCGAGAGCCCCGCCCCCGGCTCTCGGTCCCAGCCGGCTACCCCCCCCCCCCCCCGGCGGTGTCCTGTCTGAAGCGCTGTCTGGCCGCCCCCTTCCTATCTCTTGCTCCCCGGTGGCTCCCTGATTCCCGCGGGTGCGTCCGGGCTAGGGCCCGAAGCTCCCCCGCCGCTTCGGGCGCCTGTTGCTGCAGCGGATCTGCGCGCTCTCAGTGCCCCCTCCCCGTCTACTGCAATGCCAGGAGAGGGGCGGGGGGCTGCGGGAGGGCGCCGCCAGGCGCGCTCTGAGCCTGCGCTGGCCCACAGGGCTCGCTGGCGACCCAGAGCTGGTGGGCGGAGGGGCAAGCGTTGCGCACTTCTGGACTTCTAGGGGCCAGGGGAATCTAGGTCGCGCTCCCGCCCAGCCTGGCATCTGCCCCTCTTCTTGTCTCCGTCCTATTCTGAGTCGGGGCGGGGCAGACCTCCGGTCTGGGTACCCCTGTCTCGGTTCTGGAAGTCTCTCCCTCCCCTCTTGTCAGTGCGCAACAGGTGCAGGGTGGGGACTGAGTCTGTTTCTGCGACTCGCGTGGCTTCATGGAGCCAGTGCGTGGCTGTGCTCCCATGCTGCCTCCTAGGTGCGGGGACCCGGGTGGCCTGGGAGTCCAGTTCCTGAGCCCCGAGGACTGCCACTCCCTCGCTTTACCCAGATCTCGCTATGGGGGCGGGAGTCTGGTCCAGTTGGCCCCTGGAGGCAGGGGCTGAATACTGGGGGGTGGATGAGTACTGGGGGAGGATGTTGGGGCAGGAAAGTGGCCCAGTGCCCTCCCTCCACGCCCCCCGTGTGGACTCCAGTGGGCGCCTGGAGGCATAGCTTCCCTGGTTCCTGACTGCCTGTACCTCCCGCAGCGCTGTGCCCTAACCTACCCCCAGCCAAGAAGATCACCCAAGACGATATCAAAGTGATGCTGTATTTGCTGGAGGAGGTGTGTACCCACTTCCCAGGCAGGCCAGCCCCGAGCCCTAGCCAGTCTCCCCCACCCCCTTTAGTTCTGCCAAGTAGCCTGGAAGGGTCTAGTCTGTTTCCTGCCTGCCTGAGTCTCTGGCAACCCAGCGGGGAGGGGAGGACGGTTGGTCTTCTGGAAGGCAGTGGATACAGGATGTTCAGGCTAGGGGAGAGCGCCCAGCCAGGCTGGTTAGAACTGCCTTTTTCCATAAGGGGCACTCACTGAGTCGGGTCCCATGGTGGGTTAGTGGCAGACTCCGGCCGGGCACATTGAGAACTGCAGGATGGGGGGGTTTCCCCTGAAGTCCTGGCCTCCTGCTGCCCCCTGTGCACCTCCGAGCCTCTCCCTCCCGTCTGGGAGAGCTTGACAATGGGGAAAGCAGTCGCGACAGGTGGGGGTCTCTCTGCAGAGAGAGCGCGACCTGAACACGGCGGCTCGCATCGGCCAGTCCCTGGTGAAACAGAACAGCGTGCTCATGGAGGAGAACAGCAAGTTGGAAGCCATGCTGGGCTCGGCCAGGGAGGAGGTGACAGGGCGGGAGGCGTGGAGGCGGGGCTGGGGAGGCCGGTGACAGGGCAGGAGGAGTGGAGGTGGGGGCCAGGGAGGAGGTGACAGGGTGGGAGGTGTGGAGGTGGGGCTGGGGAGGTGGTGACAGGGCAGGAGCTGTGGAGGTGGGGGCCGGGGAGGAGTGGAGGTGGGGGCCAGGGAGGAGGTGACAGGGTGGGAGGTGTGGAGGTGGGGGCCAGGGAGGAGGTGACAGGGTGGGAGGTGTGGGAGGTGGGGGCCAGGGAGGAGGTGACAGGGTGGGAGGCTTGGAGAGGGGGGCCGGCCTACTCCCTCCTTGAGCAGGGCCCTGCCCCTGCCCCTGCCCCTGCCCCCGCCCCCGCCCACAGCTCCTCTCTCCTTCTACCAGATTTTACACCTCAGACAGCAGGTGAACTTGAGAGATGATCTCCTTCAGTTGTACTCAGACTCTGAAGATGAGGAGGAAGAGGAGGAGGAGGAGGAAGAGGAAGGAGAGGAAGAGGAGGAGGAGGAGGAAGAAGAAGAGGAGGAAGAGGAGGAGGAGGAGGAGGAGGAGGAAGAGGAGGAAGAGGAACAGGAGGAAGAGGAGGCTCGGAGGCATGACCATCCCTATGACGACCCCAGGCCGTGAGCATCCTCCCCTTGCCTGGATGTGCACAGCTGGGACGCACAGGCTGCACCCCTAGCCCTGCTGGGGAGGCCGTGGCTGGCTGGGAGCCGGGCCCCACGCCCCGCACCCTGACTCCCTTGCATCCCCCAGGCCCTCTCCGGAGGAGTCGCTGCACCACTGCCCACAGCTGGAGGCCCTGCAGCGGAAGCTGAGGCTGCTGGAGGAGGAGAATGACCAGCTTCGGGAGGAGGTGAGGCTGGGCGGGAGGGCAGGCCCTGGGGGCGGGCGCTGTTGACGCCCTGCCCCCTCCTCACTCCCTCCCTCTAGGCCTCTCACCTGGACACCCTGGAGGACGAGGAGCAGATGCTCATCCTGGAGTGCGTGGAGCAGTTTTGTACGTGCGGGTGCAGCCTGGGCTGGGGGCTGCCCCAGGAGTGCAGGGAGGCACCCGCGTTCTAGAGCCTGAGCTTCAAGCCCCAGCCCTGGCACCTCCTAGCTGTGTGGGCTTGGATGGTTCCTTGACCTCTCTGAGCCTTCTTCTTTACAAGGGGGTGTGGGGTGGGGTTAATAGTCCTGCCCCCATCCCTCAGGGCTTATGAGAATCCCCAGAGGCAACAGCTGAGGGAGTGCTTTGTGCAACGTGTAACGGGCTTTGCAGGGCCCTGGGGCTGCTCATCTACTGGAGGCAGCCAGGAGGGAGCCACGAGCTGCCAGAGGCCAGGCACGCCAGGGCAGAGTCCACACTGCCCTGGCCCCGAGCCTCTGGTCCAGCTGGGAGATGCAGGCCTCCGGGCCAGTGGTTGAACTCCTGTTGTCCCCTCACCCTGAACCTGACCTTCCCAGCTCCCCTGGGGAAGGAGCCAGCCCCCAGTTTCTGCTGCTTCTGCTCCCAGGAACGGCCTCAAGTCTCCTTGCTCCTCTGGGCTCCGGCTGCCTTTAGCCCAGGAAAATCACTAGCTGCCCCCTTGGAACGCTTTGGGCCTTCCAGACCCTTCTGCACACAGCCTAGCTGAGTCTTCTAAAACCAGATCTGACCATGTCACTCCTCCTGCTAACTCCCAGGCTTTGTGCTCTGGGCCCTGTCCGCTGCCCCAGCCAGACCCACGCGGTCCCCTCTGGGCCTGGCCGGTGTCTTCCCTTCTTTGCCTGGCCAAGCCTCTGCCCTGTGAGCTCAGCTCAGTGGTTCCTTCTCGCAGGAACCCTACCTGGGCCTTGGCAGGCTGGGTTGTGTGCTGCAGTTATGACCCCTCCTCCCTGACCTTTGCCCCCCTCCCCACGACCTCCCCTTGACCTTTGCTCCATCATAACCTATGTAGGTTGTTATTGTGAGTTTCTTTCCCCAGCTGTCCCCTACTAGACAAGCACAGTGTGGGCTGGGACCAGGCCTTGCTGACCACTGGCCCCAGTACCCTGCACGGTACCCAGAGGCGGATCAGGAGAAGCAGCTCTGGCGGGGGTGGGGAGGGGATGCTGAGCCCTCGGGAGCTGAGGGGTGGGTGACCTCTGACCTCTGCCCCCTCCCGCAGCTGAGGCCAGCCAGCAGATGGCCGAGCTGTCCGAGGTGCTGGTGCTCCGGCTGGAAAACTATGAGCGGCAGCAGAAGGAGATCACTCAGCTGCAGGCCCAGATCGCGAGGCTGCAGCAGCGCTGCCAGTCGGTGAGCCCGGGCGGGCGTGGGGAGCTTCCTCCCCGTGGCATGGCCCCTGGGGGCCCAGGCCTCTTCCCTGCCCCTGCCTCGTGGGGCTCTGGGCCCCTCTCCGTGTGAGTCAGAGCTGGAGGGGACGTCAAGGAGACACTCATCCCAGCGCCTCGTTGTCCTGAGGAGGGTCTAGAGGCTCCAGGAGCCAGGCCGCACAGCCCTCCGACCTAATCTGCCCTCCTCCCGTGTGGCTTCTAACTGCAGGGCTGCCCAAAATGCAGCCCGGGGTCGCCTTGCGGGGGGCCGGGGTGCCGTGCGGGCCTCGGGAGGGGCTTACTGGTCAGGTCCTTCCAGTATGGGGCTGAGACAGAGCCGCTGGCTTCAGAGAAGGGAATGCAGAGGTGAGGCTGCCCAGGCTGCTGGCCCTGCCCCTGCCCCGCCAGGCCCCGGGTCGGGTGGGGACTGAGGCTCCCGGCAGCCATCTGGCTCTCCTTAGAGGAAGAGCAGCCTGCAGGAGGGACTGGGTCCTGTCCTTTGCTCTTCCCTCTGTGTGTGGCCCAGGGTGCAGCGGGTGGTAGCTCAGGGAATTGCTGTTTGGGTCTAGAGCCTGGGCTTCTTGCCTTTTAGCCTAGGGCCAGGGCAGGCAAGAGTGTTGGGCTGGACGCACGTGGGTCCCAGCAGCTGCACGACGTGCGGGACAAGTACTCGGACTGCAGGGCCACACGCCAGGAGGAGGCGAAGACCTTCCGCCCGCAGCCCCCGATGTCCACCGGGTCGGTCACCCACTTCGCGTACAGCCTGCCGCTGGTGAGGACCCCTCCAGGGGGCTGCCTCTTTACCTCTGTGGGCCCTGCGTCTCAGCCCTGTCAGCTGCATTCTGTGCCTGGGGGTGTGAGTGGGGGTGCGGTGGGGTCCCCTGGTAATGTCCCCCCTGTTGGCCGTAGGGAGCACTTTCTGGCCTTCCGGCGTCCCTGGTTGATGAGCTCAAAATATCTATCGGGAGGATGGTCTCAGACCCCACGTATTTTACCGACAGGTGTGTTGCTGGGACCCCGGCCCCTTGCCTGACCCACACTCAGCCTCGTCCGTCCTGTGGGCAGCAGCCTTTCCTGTCGTGGGAGGGGGGCGGCCTTCGTGCTCGGCGCCTGCCTCCCTCCCTCTCTCAGCCCCTCCCATACTCGTGTGGTGTGGGATCCATCTTTTTTTTTTTTTTTTGGTGGGGAGAGGCAGATCCATCGGTTTTCCCTGGGACTTGTTGGCACGACAGGGCACCAGGGCGTTTGTGGTTCCAGCTTACATTGCTTCTGTGCCCACTTCTCTCTGTTGCAGGAGTTCCAGAAGGGCCAGGGGGGAGACACCAAACCAGGGGTAAGCTGGCCAGGGGCCTCCGCGTCACTGCCTGCAGCCGGCGCGGCAAGGAGAGTTGTGGGAGGGAGTGGCCCCCATTCCTTTGAAGCTTGCCCCCAGGAAGCTGTCTGCTTTAAGGTTGTGTCCAGGGGCTGAGAGGGGAAGAAACGCTGACCTAGGAACTGGGGACATCTGGGACTCAGTCCCCAGCTTGGTCCCATCCCATTGCTGGCTGGAAGTCCCACAGCCAGTGTCTTGGCCTGTCTGAGCCTTAGGACAATGGATTTGTTCCATGGCAACCAGCTGTGGGGTGGGTTGTGAAGGCGGAGGGACGGTTGGTCCTGCTGGGCTCTTCGGTGGGGTGAAGTGAGGGAGGGAGAAGGCTGGGCTGTGTTGGGGGCTGTGTGTTTGAAGCTGGTACCCAGCTCCTCTTTCCCCTGGCTGGGGCAGACCTAGGAAGGAACCACAGGCATCTGGGTGAGGGCTGGGTGGGGCAGGGTTGCCCTTGGAGAGGCTGGGAGGGGGCGGGCTTGTGGTGGGACCTTCCTCCACAGCCCCAACAGCAGGTGTCCCAGAGGAGTGTGTGTGTGTGTGTGCGTGCACATGTGTGTGTGCACATGTGTGCATGCCCGCGGCGAGCTGCAGCAGGAGTTGGCTTGCTGCAATCTGGAAGAACCTGGCTGTCTCCCTACCCTGACTGGACCTGTGTTCCAGGGAGGAGCGAGCGCAGGCACAGGGCTACAGGGCCGAGGAGGAGGAAGAGGAAGAGGAGGAAGAGGAGGAAGAGGAGGAGGAGGAGGAGGAGGAGGGCTCTGCGCAGGCGGAGGAGGCTGTGCCTGTGGATTTCAAGCCCATCGAGGAGCTGATCCCCGAGGAGGAGCTGGGGGCTGCGGAGGAGGCGGTGCCAGCCGAGGAAGGGGCGACTGAGGAGGCGGAGCTGCTGTCCGAGGACACGGAGGCCTGGGAGGAGGTGGAGCCAGAGCTGGATGAGGCCACGCGGATGAACGTGGTCACGTCAGCCCTGGAGGCCAGCGGCCTGGGCCCTTCGCACCTGGACATGAAGTATGTCCTCCAGCAATTGGCCAACTGGCAGGACGCCCACTGCAGGCGGCAGCAGAAGCCGAAGGTGCCTCCCAAAGGTGAGTGCTCCCGCGGGGGCCTCCCTCCGGCCAGCCGGACAAGCTGCAGGTCTTCAAGCCGATGAAAGTGCTCACCTGCCCCAGCCCGGCCCTGCCCAGCGTGCTTATTTGCATGGACTTTGCATATCATTTGCATAGGCACCTCAAGCCCCCTTCCCGGGTGTCCTTGGGACCCAGCACTCCTTTATGTGGAATTTGCTTAGGAGTCTAGCTGTCCACCCACTTGGCTCCTGGGCTGGGGTCAGGGCCGGGACTGTCTCCCTCACTGCACCTCAGCTTCCTGTCTCTGCCTGCCCCCTCCCCCCACCCTTCACCCCCACCTCCCCTGTCCCCAAGGCTCCCCAACCCTGCAGCAGTGGCAGCAGCAGGCCAAAACAAACATGGGGGGCGGGAGCGTGGAGCAGCGGCCCGGGGTGCCGACCCAGGACTCTCGGAGGCTGGAGGAGGACAGGGCCAGCCACCCTCCCGGGGCCGGGGAGGAAGATGGGCCTTCGGGGGCCACCTAGGCCGCTGGCACCGAGGCCCCCGCCAGCAAGGGCCACAGTCGCACCAGTCCCCTGGGTGAGTCTGAAGGTGGGCAAGGGTCAGCTGCAGGGTGGCGGGAGGCGGGTCAGGGTCTCCTCTCCCCAGCTGGAAGCCCCAAAGTTTGAGGCGGCTGCACCTGCCGGGCGTAGGCCTGGTGAGCCCTGCCTCTGCAGTGACCCGGTGACAGCGCTGCAGACGGACCATTTTCCCGGGTGTTAGCCCCTGTCACCCTCACGGCCCTGTAGGTAGGTGGTGGTGTCCCCTGAGATGATCAGAGAGCTGAAGTGACTCGATCCAGGTCCAGCTGAGATGTCTTCACACCCTGCCGTGCTGTGCCGTACATCCCCTCTGCTGCTGGCCTGTGGGCAGCCGTGGGTTTATAACTTGTTGGCAACCTCCCTGTGATGTGGCCTGCCTCGGCTCTGATGGTGCTTTGGTCACCGCTGGGTTTGGAATAGCGCTGGCCTCAGCAGGGCCTCCGGGTGAGGTTGTGCAGGTTGTAAGCTGAACCGGACGCCCGTGGCTGGGCAGTGGGCTCTGGCCTGTGGATCTGTGATGGCTGTCCGCCTCCCGGTGCAGAGCCACCTGGGCCAGGCCTTCACGTCTACCCCTTTTTCTTCCAGGCTTTGCTTTTTCCCAGCAGCCTGCAGAGGCCCCACAGACATGAGGCCCCTCCTTCTGCTGCCTGGCCAAGCCCTCCCCACCCCAGCCCTCCCTCTCCCCTCTCCAAAACGTGACCCGGTGCATGTCAGCAGCCCACCCTCTGTCCTGACAAGCCTGGGCCAGAGCGTGAGGGTCCAAGCCTCGAGCCTCTTCCCGGCCAGGCTGAAGGAGCCCGGGGCTTCGCTCTGCAGCTGGTGCAGGAGCTGTGGCTGCTGGGCCTGGGTCACGTGGTGGCGCCAGGCGCGGAAGAAGCCCCGGGGGAGGCCTGCCGGCTACCAGACCCAGCTCTGAGGAGGGGTGGGGGGTGATCCCAAGGGTCGGGAGTTGTTGGGGGTCACCTCCTGGGGACCTGGCCCTCTCCCCAGTCCTGTCTTTCCTGCTCAGTCCCCTTTGGTGTTTGTACTCAGAAGTGGCTCTGTGTGGGGTGGGGGAGGGGTCCCTCTGCCCAGTGGTATGTCTGCCTTGCCCCGGCCACTAGCCTGTGGCCTGCGAGTGTCCAGGCTCCCACGCTCCTCCCTGGGGGGCCCTTGTTCCCTAGTTCTGGGTGTTCTTCCTTTTGTATCCCTTCGCTCATACACAGCTGGGCTCCGGGCCTCAGGACCCCCACTGCGCTTCTTAGTGCCCTGCTGCTTGTCCGTGTAGGTGTCTGCGCAGGAAATAAAGGATTTGTGTACTGCTGGTCCAGCCTCCAGCCTTCTCTCTCAGGGAGCATGTGTGCCTGTGTGTGGGTGCAGGGGTGTGCGTGTGTACACTTTGCGGAACAACGTTAAAGAAGATGAACTCTGACTTTTATTAAATGCACCGTGGAATCACATCAACACCCCCTGGGGGATAATGAGCGGTGTCAGAGGGGAAACTGAGGCCCAGGCAGGTCAAGTGACCCTGGAGAGCTGGGTTTGAACCCAAGTCCTTGGAGCCTGTGCTCAGGCAGGCTCCCCTCCCCGGTCCTTTTGGCCCTGGCTGTGAAGGTTAGAGTGGGAGTGAGAGTTACCCAGTGCCCGGGCTCAGGGCCCCCAGGGACAGGCCTGGAATGGGGCTCGAGAACAAGGAGTTTGTTTGGAAGATGATCCGGGCAGCAGTGGAGCCTCAGGTCCCACCCCAGACTACATAGCACCAGCCCCTGCAGGCTCGCATGGTCCCCAGGGAGTTCACGTGCGGGTTAGCGTTTGAGACACGCTGATACAGATCTTCCATCACCAGCCCGTATGCCCCCCCCAGCCCAGCAGGGTGGCTGCTGTGGGTGTCTCTCCTGGTACAGAGACCTAGACCTTCACCCCTGAGAGGTCCGAGCCCTCGGTCACCGTGCTCTTGCTAGACTGTGGGTGCTGTGATGGTCCGCTTGTAGCCAACACAAGGCGGGAGCACCAAGAAGCACCCACATGTCCCCCGAGTTCGGGACATGGCCCTTCCTGTTCCTGTGTGTGGCAGTGATCTTGGCTCCCCCTGATACGCAGGGTCAGTAACCTCCGACGGTCCCTAGCCTTGCTTTGTCTGCGGTGTGAAAAGCTCAACAGGGCCAGGCAGCCCCTGGCACTGCAGGGGAGGGAAGTACCTCCCCATTCATTCTCCAGAAACCAGGATTTCTGGTCCAGCAGAGCCGAAAACTGTAGGCAGTGGGCAGGTGTTTGGTGCAACCGGTGAAGAGGCTGCACCCCTATGGAAGTGTGTGTGTGTGTGTGTGTGTGAGTCCTGTCTCTGTTTTCTAATCCAGCACCCCACTAATGCACACCCAGGGAGGTAGCAGATGATGGCCAAGGTACTTGGGTCCCCACCTCTCATGTGGGAGACCTGGCAGGAGCCCCTGGCCTTGGCCGTTTAGGGAGTGAACCAGCAGCTGGAATATTGTCTCTCTGTGTGCTTCTCCCCCTGCCTGGCCACCCTGCTTGTCAAATAGATAACCAGGGGATATGGGTGAGACCCCAGCGAGGGAGTGCCTGCGCCAGCTGCTCACCCACCATCCATTTGGCAAATGCTTACTGGGTTTCCCCCGTTCTTGGCACTGGGGACTCAGCAGGGAGGGGGCCGAGTGCTCCCTCCTCTCACAGAGTGTCTGTCTAGCTGGGGAGGCAGACAGGAAGCTGGCCGACTGCAGGGTGTGTGGCTCAGGCTGGCAGAGCAGACAGGGCCGCTGGCTCAGCAAGAGGCCCTGGGAGGGGGAGGGGAGCCCCCACGACTGTGCCCTCGGGGGGAGGGACAGCAAGCCCCAAGGTTCTGGTTAGAAACAAACACGGTGTGTCCTGTATAGTGGCAGGAGGAAGAGGAGGCAGGGGAGGGAGGTATGGGACGTCGAGGAGCCAGAGGAGGGCGGCAGGGCCAGCTCTCCTGCCGGGGCAGGAAGCTAAGATTTTACCCTGCGTGCAGTGCGAAGCCATGGAAGGTTAGACCTGAGAGTGACGCCATTTGATTTGTCTTCTGGAAAGCTTACTCGGGCAGCGGCTCGGGGGAGGGTACATTTAGCCTGTGTCCCATCCTGGAGCACCTGGGGTGTGACCTGAGACTTGCCTCCGACTCTCAACTCCAGCTTCCTGCTAGTGCAAACCCTGGGAGGCAGCGGTGACAACTCAAGTCCTTGGGTCCTTGCCCCCCACACGAGAGACCTGGATTGTGTTCCTGGCTCCTGGGTTCAGCCCCAGCCTAGCTCCAGCCATTGCAGGCATTTGGAGAGTGAACCAGCAGGATGGGAGTTTGTGTGTGTGTGTGTGTGTTTCTTCCAAATTAATTCATTAAGAGTATTACTCCGGCTGTGGGTCCCACCCACACAGGTGCATTCGTGGTCAGTGTTTGTTGGGCTCTAGGACATCAAGAAGAATTAGCCGTGGTCCCTGCCCCTAGAGGGTGCTCAGGCCTCCTCCCGGCCTTGACCCCTCCCCTCTGCCAGCTCGCTCCCCTGGCCCACACACTTGACACAAGCCACTGATCCACAGGGAGCTGGTTTATTCTGTTTCCTGGGGCAGGGCTGGGCTGGGCTGGCAGCAGGCTGGGCTCAATAGCCTGCTTCTAGGGACGCAGCTCCGGTTCCTCAGCGCTGCGGCGGCCGAAGTCCATCCACCCGTAGGCCTCCTCTTCTTCCTGCAGCCATGGACCCTGCTTCTTGGACAGGTCTGAGGAGCCGAGAGGAGGTGAGAAGGGCGGGGAGGACACTTAATCTCCAGGACAGAGGCCAGGCAAGCTGGGTGGGGTGGGGTGGGTGGGATCTGCCACTCCTACCTGGCACGAGGTGTGGGGCAGCCTGGGCCCCCAGCTGCCTCCGGTGGTGAGATGCTGGGCCCGGCTGATCCAACCAGCGTGGCTCCAGGCCCCTGCTGGCCACCGGACCCGAGGGTGCATCCTGCGGCTGGGAATGGGGCTTCCGAGAAGCCTGGCAGAAGGCGGCCAGAGCCATTGCCAAGACCAGCACAGACACCCACGGTCGCAGCATCTTTCTTGTCTGCAAAGAGGACAAGGGCCAGATCTTCAGGTGGAGCCATCCCCTGGCAGGCCCAGAGGCAGGGGACTGGACCAGAGGATGCAGGCAGGTCTGTGATTTTGTGTCCAGCCCCCAGGCCCTGCCTCTTTCCTCCTTAACTACCCCAATCACAACTGCTGCTTGTCTGTGAGAGATTCAAAACTTAGGGAGGCAGGCCTTTGGCCTGGCAGGTGAGACCCTGGTTGGGGCACCCACACCCCGTATCAGCCTGGGTTTGAGTCCTGGCTCTGCTCCCACTTCCAGCTTCCCGCCAAGGCAGACCCTGGGAAGGAAGAGGTGAGGGCTCAAGTCCTTGGGCCCCTGCCACCCACGTGGGAGACCCAGATTGAGTTCCCGACTCCCAGCTGTGGCCCTGGCCCAATCCTCCTCATTTTGTGCATTTAAGGAGTAAGTCAGTGGATGGGAACTCCCTCCCTGTCTTTGTCTTCCGGTCTCTCAAATTAAAAACAACAACAACAACAACAACAATAAACCCGGAGTGGTGTTTTCCAAACTGCTCTGCAGATCCTGAGGCCCTGTCAGTGGCTCTGTAGATGTTTACAGCTTGTGACTTAAAGTGGACCTGAACCAGGACATCAGAGGGACATCCAGGGGCTGGCATTACCGCACAGTGGATTAAGCAGCTGCCTGTGGCAATGGCATCCCGTAGGAGTGCTGGTTCAATCTGTATCTGCTCCACTTCCCATCCAGCTCCCTGCTAATGTGCCTGGGGAGGCAGCAGAGGACGGCCCAAATCCTTGGGGCCCCGGCACCCACGTGGAGACCTGGATAAAGTCCCAGGCTCCAGCTTCAGGCTGGCCGAGCCCCAGCTGTTGCGGCCATTTGGGGAGTGAACCTGTGGATGAAAGATCTCTCTCTCTCTCTCTCTCTCTCTCTGTCACTCTTTCAAATTAATAAATCCTTAAAAAAAAAAAAATAGGGCCACACAGGCCCGAGGCATCAAGCACACACACTGTGAGGTGAACCAGGTCGTCTGTGGTGCGGCCCGTCGGCCAGCCCTCAGAGGAGTGGTCCTGCTGTCATTCTTGCCTAACGAGGAGTGTCCTGTGACCGTAACTCAGCAGATAGAAAAAGCCGTCACCGTCTGCAACAGCATGTAGGGTGAGCCGGACTTAGGGAAGCCAGAGCCCAGCTCTGTTCTCCGGAATCTCTTTCAGCCTCCTGGTCTACCTGGCTTCATCACACACAAGGATAAACATTTCTCCTGGCAAGAAAGAGTACGTTTGTGCTCATAAAATACCGCTTTCAACGGTTTTTCAGAATGAGCTTCTGTCAGGTTGCCTTTGGGAGAAGCAGAAATTGCAGACTCTGTGATGGAGCGAGGGGCCCTGCAACGCGAGCATTGGGCGGCCACGAGTCTCCGTGTCCTTTCCACCCAGGTTCACTGCAATGAAAAGCACACGAGGCCGGTGGCTGCCGCACTGGGCAGCGCCGACCTGCAACAGTGCTGTCCTCATGGGAGTTTCTTTTGGACAGAACTTGAGATGGGATCCAGGATGGAGCCTGGGTTCCAGTCCCGGCCCTGCCCAATAGTTTGCATGATTTTGATGGCCTGGGTTGTGGTGCGGTGGGTTAAGCCACCGCCTGTGATGCTGGCCTCCTATATAGAAACCAGTTCGAGTCCCGGCTGCTCCACTTCCCATCCAGCTTCCTGCTAATGCTCCTGGGAAGGCAGCAGAGGATGGCCAAAGTGCTTGGGTCCCTGCCATGTGGAGACCCGGATGGAGTTCCAGGCTCTTGGCTTCTACCTGGCCCAGCCCTGACCGTTGTGGTCATTTGGGGAGTGAACCAGCAGATGGAAGATCTTTCTCTATATATATCTTTTCCTCCCTCTCTCTGTGTGTTTTCAAATAAAATATATGAGCAAGTCTTATCTTCCCTCTGGGCCTCAGTTCCCTCATCTGAGAGTTGGGGAAGGAGGGTGGAGTGAGAGGGTCCGGGCAGGGCGCTGGCTGAGGCAGAAGGGTAGGTGCCAGATAAGGGCTGGGAATGCCTGGGGTGGGGTGGGGGATGGGTCTGGTAATAGAGCTGAGACCTAGCTCCACCCTGGCCCAAGGGAAGAGTCCTGGCCCTGGGGGCACCAAGGCCTGCCCTGGACTCTGGCTAGAGACCTGGTACTTTGATGGGGAAGGGGGTCCCCCTTCCCAGCCCTCCCCACCCCTCTTGGGTGTTCTCACCTGCAGCACTGGGAGATGGGCAGTGCAGTGGCGAC